GCTCCGTTGTGTCATTATTCATTGACTGGCATTCCAGTACATGAGGTTCATATGTTGTGGGCTTTGACCTTTGTAGAACTCTGCCATCATCTACTTAATCGACTTATCTAGTAAGTCACAAATCACCTGTGTAGACCGCAGTTACCTCTGTGGGCTAATGTGAATCATGTCTATTCTCGCTTACATAACCCCTAAGCGCAAATCTCGTTCCTACATCGATGTTTGTACATCCATCTGCAGGCAGTTCAGAGAATCAAAGACAGGCATTAAATTTAAACTGAGGAGTTGCAGTTTTTTGCCAACTTTCATGTTGATAGGCAATTTTTTTTACTGTTGCCGGACAGCCCAAATCAAACGTCGAATCACCCGTCTGTCAAAGTGAAGAGAAAGTGCTGAGGCCGAATATTTTTCACAAGATTTCTGTGTGGCCGAGTGCAGTAAACTAGTAAACTAGCCTGGGAGTCAGTTCATTTTTTTTTTAAAGAACGAATTTTTTGTCAGCGTTCTCGAAAAGCCCCAAGTGCAGACTTGGGCTCATTCGTATCCATGCAGTTATTTAAATTTGACACCAAATTTGTTTAAATTAAGTAATTCCCGGACACGAAAACACGCTTATTACTTTAATTGGGGTCTTAATTGGTTGGGATTAAAGACTGCAATTTTGAAAGCCCAGACTGAGGCTTTCTGTTTACTACCAGTTAGTTGATTCACGCGCTGGTGGGTGGAGGTGGGGGGAGGAGCTGGCGTGACTGCTCATTCAAAATAAACCCTTTCCCTCCAGTCACGAGAGCCCCAACCGCCACACAAGGCCGGGCGTAAACAACTCTGAGACCTAGGCTGGATTTATTGTGCACACCATGCGCCTGTTTTTTTTTCCAGTGAGGTAAGGAAGACGTCGTGATCTTTTCGAAATTGTGCTTTTTCTTCACCCGGGTTAAGTAGCACAGGACTACCGTTAAACAGATGCATTAGAAGCCGCTAAACACTGGGGGTTGTAACAGAAATGCACCAAGTAAGGCGATGGTTTGGAAAACAAAAGGTAAATAAGCAAAAAATGGACTAAACTTCGTCCAGGAGTATAATTATACTTGCTCTTATTAGTAGGAATGCTTAAAAGTTGACTCCTCATGACCACAAAATAGTCAGGAGGAATGATCTGATTGGTCCCATTAAAATCTAGTTGGTATTTCGAGGGATTCGAAGTCACTGCCACCAAACGGAAAGTACAATTTTGGCGTTTCGTCGTCTGAGGCCTTGAGCCCTCTGCCATGCGACCCCAGAGAAAGAAGGTAACAAAATAACAACGCCACTAGGTGTGCTATGTTTTACAAGAACTACCTTACAACACTCTAGTCAAGAGTTCTAAAGAAATTTGTCATGTTTTTTTTAGTATAACTCTTTGTATTACTCTACTGGTTTGTTGGATCACTATTTAATCTCCTCAATAGAGGTGAGCGACTGTGTTTGTTGTATACACTCACTGTTTCCTCTACTTATTGTCGTAGTATTTGTTGTTTAGGACTGTTTTTGCCGTTCTTCGATTCCAGCGCGCATATCCATTATTACGTGTGCAGGTGTTATTTATAAAGTTATCCACTACATAATAAATGACGATGACGACATCTGCACTGCGTGTTTTTCCAACGAATTTCTTTTTTTAGCGACACTATTTGGAATCAGGGATCGCCATATTACGTCTGTTTGAAGTAAAAAAAATCAAAGCAGAGAAATCAAAGTGTTGCAACAAGAAGGACTTAGAAATAAAGTACCTTGTGAAAGAGCGTCAATCTGATAAAATTGTCGACGATTGAGGTAAGTAAATTTGACAGTGATCCAAAGTTCCATTCCACTGCTGAGTGCAGAACCCACGACAAACCAGCCCGTTCAACACACCTGCGGCGGTGCTGGGAAGGAAAGCTACTGGAATCTGCAGGGCACTGCACCAATTTCGATGACGAAACAGATTTTAAAGTTGCACAGGAAATCCTTAAAAAGGAATCGGTCTGGACTCGACTGTAGCTGCAGCCTTTTGTATGATTGGGTTGGGCCAAGATAGCTAGCAAAATGCAGAGGCAAACATAGCTTTTATGCACGTGTCAATTACATGGTTTGTAGTATAACACCCTGAGTCAGAAATTAAGCCTTAATTCTTCCAAATCTGACATTTCCCGATAATAATAATAATAATCCGAATTTCATTGTCAATCATTTCTACTAGAAATTCTGAAAGTAGCATCTATTTTGCATACATGTTTCGTTTTTAACCACTTCCTCTTTATAAATATTGCTGAAACTCTGGCCTCGCTCTAACTTAGGTTGAGTGCGAGGTTTTTGCAACCCGAATCACCTTACTTTTTTTTTATTTCATTCATTTATTGTCCAGGTCGAAAGGCGCACAGGATCTCTTTAGAGTGGCCGATGTTGACCAATTAGGGAAGCTGAGTCTGTCGGAGATAAAGCGCCTTGTCGAGGTGTGCGATTATGACATCGACGACGAGGAGCTGCAGGCCATCTTCCGTCGCGCCGACGCCAACAACGACGGCGAACTCGACGACAACGAGTTCGTCGAACTCGTCAAGTACTTCATAGGAAACAAGTGATCGGAAATGCTCACTTGTATTAACATGGAAAAGCGTCTTGCACATTCAATATGTTTAGCAAAATAAATTTTGATTTGAAGATGACTATCACGGTGTCCATCTGGTGGTGGTTGTCTACAAAAGCTAGACAGATCCGCGTGAGTAAAGTTGTACTACTGAATTAGAATTCAGCGAGTGAGGGATTATGGAATTTCTCAGGAATTCCATAGTAGACAGTCCAGCACTCAGGGTAGCAGGGCAACCCTCTAACTTCTCTATGCACATCAGCATTTCCACCCAAATATTTTGAAAAACGAAAATTTGTTTAATTTGGAGCGAATTGTGTACCCTATACAGCGCACAAATCGAAATGTTGGCCTTGAATAGCTCTAAATTCGCGGAGAGGTTTTCAAAATCGCCTTTTACACTAATCAAAATGAAGATATTCTGTTATCGAAAAGAGGTTTACCGCTGGACGCAATTATGGCGCTGACGGTGTTGTTAGCTGTTCTTAAGAAACAACAATCTTTTTTGTTGAGAACAGTTACTTTTACTTGAGGTTGCGAAGCTTGTGCTTCGAGGATTCCTTTAATTTTTAGCGGATTAATTTAAACAAACAGATTTGTCGGCGTTGTGGTAACTCAAGATGCATTTAAACAACACCCCGCTGACGGTTTGAGGACATGAGGTGCATTCGCTTGGAAATTCGACGCGCTCTTTCGGTAAACTCTTGGCAATTAGTCTTCAGACGACGTGATAAGGTGGTGTTGGTAACGCGCAGGTCAAATCGACCGATTTCGCGAACGCACTCGCAATGATTTGTCGATAAGCAAGTGGTTGAACTGAAATCAGCCAATGGGCATCCAGGATCGGCTGGTGGTAGCTTTTAATGTTCATTCGCCTATCGTCTTGTTAAAAACCGTCTCAACACTAACGGTTAAAACAATCGTTTACTGGAAATCTGTGAAATGCAGCAGTAGGATTAGACTATCTGCTTAGTTATTAGGAATGGTTTTATCTTACCATTTTCATGTTTATCTCATGGCTGTGACCATAGGAACTAGAAAGGTGTTTTATAGAGGTCCTGCGTTAAAACCCTTCATGAAATTACCATAGAAACGGCTGTAAAGAGCCACCTAATGTGGACACATAATAGTTAACACAAGGGAATCTTCTCGCTCTGCCAATCAGTCACGCGATGAGGCCTCTCCACGTGAACTCCTTAATGGTCAGGAGGGTGTTTATTAAGGCTCCATTAGGTGTGCTTTAAAACAACGCCAAGTCGCGTGCACACACACCCGCACATTCGCGAATCCACTTTGCTATCTGAGTTGTGGCACTGGTCCAGTTTGACAAAATGAGAGCGGCCTCGCTACTGCGAGGATTCCTCCTCCTTCTTCAACTCGTCCACGTCGGTCTGTGCCTCAGACCGAAGCTGCTGCTTCTCTTCATGTACAGCGATCATCAGTGCATGCCCAGCCTCAGTTTGTTCAAGCCACTCGAAACCATCTCCAAGACGTACAATTACGTCACGTCGCTTGAACCGACAGTTCTGCTTACATCGGAAATCCAGCTTCTGGTTGCTCAAATTGAGGGATGCAATGCGAAGGAGTTGAATCGCGGATTCCGGGTCTTCGAGGCGCTAGGGGCCATGGCCGATGTGGCCAACAGGTCGAGGTGCTTCACGGTGTTCCTGGGACCTCCGCTTGGCGGTGACTGCGTGGTCACCTCCGACTGGACCATTCACACCTACGCCGACATCCCCGGCTTGTTGAGGCCCTACCAGATCAGCTACAACTGCCCGTCAATCAGTCTGGCGAGGCAATTCATTGAGCGCAATCGCGTCGATCAGTACATCGCTGAGGAGCCCAACTACGCCTCGGTGTTCATCACGCTGAATTTCTCCGCTACCACACACGCCTTCAAATCGCTGCTGCAGTTCCAGGGCTGGAGGCGTGTTTCTTTGCTGTTTGAGATCAGCGACAGCATGACATCGCTTCTGTGGCTCACGGATAAAATCAAGTTGGCGTTTAACGATGAGCAGAGATTCGGACCCTCTGTGGACATCGTCAGCTACCTTGGCGTCCGCGAAAACATGAACTACACTGCGCTGCTGTACCATTGGATTAAGCGCACTGACGGTCAGTACCCTCGTGACATTTTGCAGTTTGTCCTAAGGACAACTCACTTGTTACCTTACACTTCTCAATTCATATTTTAACTTGTTCAGTCAATAATGAGGCTGCCGTAGCCAAAATTGGCGTTTTATGTAATTTTTACGCATTTTCAGCAAGTGTACTTTAATATATGTGCAAGTGGAGAACAACGCACTTAATATTGCTAGTGTTGCCTATCATCTTTTATGACGTTGCGCCATCTCTCGGGCTAGGTGCGAATCCCGCGGCAAAAGAAACTTGCAGGCTTCGAGGCAATCGAGTCATCGCCGACGGATTTACGCACGTCGTTTGGCACTTTGAACTGGTTGACCACTTTGGCGTGCTACTGTTTCATTAACTGGAACACGTGATTGTCGGAAGAGAAGCCAGGTCTGGTGAATGTGCCGCGCGTGTGAGAGAACTTCCCGTCCCAAGTTCAAGAGGGTCTTCTGAGGTTTTATGAGTTTTGTCATGCAGCAGCAGCAGGAGCAGCCCCCATATGCCTTGCCTGCTTCCTTGCCCAGTAAATGACTTTTCTGATCGCGTTCTTTGCTCAGTTTGTTCAATTGCCGGCTGCAGCGTTCCGCAGTCGCCATCTGACAACCAGTTTGCACGAGTTCGTAAAAAAACATCCTTCTAGTCCTCCCGCCAGATACACAGGAGGATCTTCATCTTCAAGTAGATGTTCTGTTTCGGCGTCGATGTACTGGATTTCTGAGGGTCTACCCACGACCTTTTACGTTTGGGATTCTATGAAAAGTATACTTTTCATCACCCGTCACAATTTTCCACAGGGAGTTCTTTTGTTGTGGCTGGCGGCCAGGCAGTGGAAGGCATGTATTCGTTCCTTGACCTAGGTTGTGTTCGGTCTGCATATGTTGTGGGGCGACCCACCCAACTTCCAATTTTTTTTTAATTTCTCCCATTTAGTGGTGTAAACGATTAAAAATCGTTGCCTGAGTGACTCCCAACTACGCTGCTGCAAGCTCGCGATGTGTTTGCGTTGAGTCTCCGTAGAGAAGGCCGTTTTCGGTAAGCAGGTGGTCGCTAGAGAACGAAATCACCACTTCTAACGTTACGTTTGTACCAATAATTATCGGTGTCATCAGACACAACGTCGGCAGCACCAAGAACACTGCAAATTGACGGAACTCTTATGAAATGCCCTGCCCTCGAATGTGCTGTTCATCAGTAGCCATCGTCATTAACTCTGCAATTCTGCGGGGCTATGTTACACATGTCGTTCGATGTTCTGAAACCTTGCATTCGAACCTTTCAAAACCCACGAAAAAACTACAAAAATATTCCAATTTTACCAATTTTTATGTTCATTTCTGCCTTCCAGCAATCCTGCTTCTATCACGCCCTTCGTTGGCTGTAGCCTTTCTGCACGGCATTAAGGCGATTCCGGAGGTGATGGCAGGCCGTGTGGCAGTGATCCACTTCGACCCCTCGGACGCCATCGCCTACGACGTCTTGCGTTCCTGGCGCCTCGAGCTGTCGACCTCGCGGGACCTCGGGGCCGCCGGCCAGTGCCTGCTCATCGTCACGACGCTGCCCTATGGCACGGGGTTCAATGTCTCCTCGCCGCTGCTTCAGAGTGTACGTCAATCGAAATGACGCTTTTTTTCTGAGCATAAAAGTCGATTTAGAGATTTGCTTGTTGAGGATGAAAGACAAAATCAGTAATTGGAAAAACTGGCATGCATTCCGGGCGGGGAATGGATCGGGTACACAAAAACGACGCAGAAACACCCGCAAACAGGGGCATTTAAAAAGAATTCAGGCTGGTGTTGATGTGTCGCTTTCAACTGGCAGAGGATACAGCAAAGCCTCTCAACGGAAACTTTCATCTCATTGCGCCCTGACTAAAGTGGTCACAATTGTTCCGAATGTCAGCAATTAGGCATGTTGTTATTGCAACAATGAGTTTGAAAAAAAAGGTTTTATCGGCCACCACATTATCAGCATTTTTTAAAACGTTTTAACTGGCCAACCAGCCTGACCACACAAGGACCCGACACTCAACCACCGAGAAGAAAAAAGAAGAGTAAGCAGAAAATCGATCGAATATTGATTCCTGCAGCTGCTGTAAACGGAAATCTTTTTGATGCAGGGATAAATTTTTAAACTTTGAATAAAAACGTATTTGCACCAGGAGGACTCGCATGATCGCAGCACCGAAAAATTTCGCGCAAATGAAGCAGTCGTGTTCAGCTAACCTGCGGGCGTTGCTCGCGACAATTAAACGGCACTAGTCATTTGAGTGAAAACGATTTCTTTGGGGGCTTTCCAGCGCACCATGGTCTCCTTGGCTTCGGCGGTGGCCTTGGCAGTTTCCATGGTGAAGACGATAATCGTCGAGGCCAACGCCACCTCGCCACCGCTCACGGCCAATCTCTTTGCGCCGCTGCTGTCCAATCACGTGCGCGTGCCCGTGGCGCCCAGTGTGGAACTTCACTTCAGCCGGTCTGACGATGACGTCACGGAGTGGAACGACATCTACGTGTTCCAAGTGAGCCACAGTGACGATGCTTCGCTTTCACTCAGGTTTACTGAGTCGCCAATTTGCAGATTAAAATTAGTAATTTTTAGGAGAAAAATGCATTAACTCACACTGTAGGAGGAAGAATCAACTCTAAGCGTGTTTGACACCCAACACTGTGAATGGGCCAACTTAAACTTCTACACGGTCGCTGCTTCGAGTGTGTTTTACTGCAATGAAAATCACTCATTTGTGAATGAGAAGACTCGTGGTTAATCATTTAGTGTCCTTACTTAAATGAATAAGTAGCAAGGAGAAAATTGTCTGCATTTAGCTATAGCATTTGTGGGAGGACACATCTGTAAAACTGCCACATGCCA